TATCTAGTCCAAAAGTCTTGACAAAAGCCTTATAATCTCGTCTCCCTCGACAATAGCGTCCGGGTCTCGGACCTCTAGTATCACTTTTTTCGTGCTTATTTTGACAGTTTCCTGTCCAGCTACCGACTTTTCAATTTGTTGTGAGAATGCAATCGCATCCTCTTCACCTTTGCCTTTTATCAGTATGTCTCCTTTCTTTGTGGTAACAACACTTTTAACTGCGGCATTGGCCTTGTCAGGGTCAAAATTTGCCTTCATTGTCCTTAGCACATTAGCCAAGATCTGCCCTTTAGCCATCTTGATCAGTACTGTTGTCGTTGGGTCTACTCTCTTCTTTTGGTGTTTTTTGTCGTTCAGGAAAACCTTTTCTTGTTGGCCTTTGCCTGTTTTTTTTTTTTTTTTTTTTTTTTTTTTTTTTTTTTTTTTTTTTTNGCTAGCTTTAAATTGATTTACATTCTATTCTCTATCATGTATTATAAGAATAATTGTCACGTGACCAAAGCCTACAAAGACATGGCTTGTTGGCGTTTTTCAGGACTGTCTAATAAACTCCTGTTTCTTTTAACCCGTTTTACTTTCTTCAGGGCAGTAGTCAGGATTCTTTTCTGAACATGTCGTCGGAAATTATCTCGTCTATGTTCTCTGTTGATTTGAAATACTCTTTCCAACTTCTCTTTACATTTTCTTCCTTTAAAAGGACGCTTCTAGTCACCTTAGTTGCTAACAAGTATTGAAGCGCAGCTTTTAGACCATATTTAACGGCGTTTGCTGTGTTTCAAAAATTTTCATTAATTGCCTTAAGCACCTCTTTAATCTCTCTAGTTGCAGATTTGATTTGCTCAATTTCTTTCATTTTCTTCGCTTTTAGCTCAGCATCCTCTGTTTCTATAAATTCGAGCTCACCTTGCGTCTGGTTGCTGAAGACAGACACGTTACTACCCTCGCTAAAGTTACTGCCTATGATGGAAGGGCTTCCTTTTCGTTCTCTATCTGTAAGAACAGGCCATAGAACGTTTAACAGTCCTGGTTGGCTATGAGACGCGTCTGGGTGGCCCTCCTCAGAATCTGTGGGGCCAACGGCAGTCACCCGGGGTTTCACCGGATCGCAACTGCCAGTGGATTCCCTCAAAGATGTTACCGCTTCGGGTACTAGTTTCACATTGACGTTAATCATTTTTAGTTCTTCTTCAAATCGTGTTGACCGATAAGAGCCAACACTCCCCTTTTTTCCAAAAATAAGTATCTGAAAACGGTGAAAACCAGCGCAGCAGCTCATTCCGTTGCCAGAGATAGGCGCTACTTGCTCGGGCCGACCGGGAGTTGCCATTCTCCCTCAGTTCCACCAGTGGATACCGCCCTGGCGTTGTGTAGAGAGAGTGTGGAAGTGGTGTATGTGTGTAGTGCATGTATATGTTGGTACATCACAGTCGACACAGCGAAACATGCGCCAGGCATACAATCCTACGACCAGCGCAGACAACCCGCCAAAACGAGCTGGCGTATAAAAGCACTTAAAGGGCCGCCATGTTGCCTCCTCAGTGGTAGTAAGCCTAGATTATTCAGCTCGCCACGTCTTTTTTGTTGATGAGGCGTGCAGCCATATCAGATGCGGTTACCCAGACTTACCTGGGCCTTATTCTTCTGCCTCACCCACTGCCAGGCGCCCACGCCATCCAGGGAATGACCCCGTCGCACGCAAACCGAAACGACTATTGAGTATACCTGTGTTTGTTTAGTAAGAGTGTGATGCATGCATCTGAGAAGAATGTTATAACTACCGCTTACTTCTATACACGACGGGGTGGAGAGTGGTTAATACCTGTCAAGGTTACCACCATACCGAGACAGCAGGCTAATTCTTAGTGGCTTGGACGGGGGGTCAGCCTCTGCCAGACCTTCAAGTTTTCTGGTTCTCATTCTGGGATCCAGACAGCTTCCTTTGAGCTCTAGTACCTCGACGCATACACCACTCATACTCTCATTCGTTTTTTAAAGTTCCCCCTTTTCTGTTATTTCTTTGTTTTCGAGGAAACCCAGTCCCTCACACATTGAGACGACTGATCACCTATTTTTTTAGAGCCTACTTCATCACAAGCCAGGCATCCCCACCAATGACAAGGTCTTGCAGCCCCTAGAGGGTGACTAAAATTTTATTCGCGTAGGTGGGACGTGGGGCTAAAAGATAGTTTAATCAAACGATGCAGTATTTGCAGAGGGGCTACGACTGTTTACCCACGACTCGAAGCGACTGCCGTGCAGTTTTCCGATGTACTTACTCGCCACGCACCTAAGGTTTATCGATTGGACTATCAGTACCGTTAGGAGTAAAGGTATCGTTTCTAGGGGTTACGTAGTGAGAGCCGATGGTATTTTAACTCGTGACCCGACTAGAATCTACCAATACCGCCACGAGTAATGGTATTCGCTCTAGTTTTTACGCACAATTCAATAGATTATTTAATACCCGGTATTCCACAGGTACTACTACTTTGACGAGTAATGATGTCCGCGTTTGTTAAGTTATTTCTCGGTATTTCACAGGTACCACTACTGTAGCGCGTAACGGTGTCCGCGATTGATTTCATGCCCGCGACGAAAAAGAGAAAAAAAGGGGAAAAAGAAATTTTTTAATTGGATGAACCCTAAACATACTTACTTTACTTTTATTCAGAACCAAAATATGGTGAACTAGTCTGAGTCGAGACAAGTGACGTCCGAATTAAAATATACCGCGTTCGTGGAAGACTAAGTGATAACAGAGGCGGACTCTAGCTATTTAGTCGACCGTTCAAGAGTGAAAACGAAAATTAATTGATTTTTTCAGGGCCCTTCAGAAAAAGGGGGGGGCACTTTCATCGCTGCTATGCGTTTGCTCCATGATTTTTTTCTCCATGCACGCACGCGAACACACACAGACACACGACACACACTTATACACACGACACCCCTATATATATATACATATATGATTTTACGCTATGACCAAACCGATGCGCTTGCTCAAGCTGAAGTACAGGTATGGAGAAAAGAGAAAGGAAGAGAAAAACAACAGCTGTACTTATACTAGAGGCAAAGTATAGGTTTTTACATTGTATACATATATACGTATTGCATATCCCGGTCCGCGTGGGAATTCCGATGATGCAAAATGATAATTAAGGTGCAATCATATGTTACACAAATCCATACAAACAATCATAATAATTCTATAAATATAAATTTATATCACAAAGGCAAAGCTACATCCTTCATATCCTAGCTATAAATTAATTTATTTTTTATTTTATATCATGTATTATAAGAATAATTGTCACGTGACCAAAGCCTATGTATATTCTTATTATTAACTTTGAGATTAGTAAAGATTAGTTATAAGCACAGGCGAATTTCAATATTAAATTATAAGTAATCATAGACAACGAGTTAAAGGAATAATTACAACTTTGAAATGGAAAATAGCTATATGTCAATTGTTTTTCTTAATCTCAATCAGATAGAGTGGATTATTTTACTTTTATAGTAGCCAAATTTAAAAAAAAATTTTTTTTGTCGGATACAATGATTCTCACGAGAGTTGATTGTACATATATTGATGTCATATTAAATGCACGAAAAGTAATTTCGAATAAAAAAATTTTTTGTTCTGCGTAACTGGACAGAAATACTTTTTTTTGGAGCAAAATGGTAAAAATTTTTGTTTCGTTCTGCATTACATGACCAACAATTCGCACATGTATTAATATATGTATCATAGCAAACATGGAAGTACTGAAAATGCGCGAATTACGTATAACATAAGTAGTATATTAAAAAATATGTATTCTATTCATGCGCGTACTCAAATACGTAATAATTTAAAAATTCTTACCACTGTAGTAGTAGATTTTCAGAGACCTACTGAAATTAGGTGTAATCTACATTTCTCAGTTTGTATAAAAAGGTCAAAGGCCAGTAAAGCTCCTGGTCTTTGGTTGATTTTTTGCCGGGACTGGGAGCAAACCAGGTTGGGGAAAGGACGTTGGACAATGAAGGGGCGCCGTAGTAGGTGTTAAAATAAAATGACACACAACACTGCACTTATTTTAACAAACATTAAATACAACCAAATTACTTTATTCAAGCAAATAATAAAAGGTATTATATGACCTAGAAATCACTATTGAGCGTATTGGATCGAATCGCTTTAAAATAGAATTAGAAAACAATCGCAGTAGATGAGAACTATTAAACTAGTTGTGAACAGAGAGGTAAGTAATAAAGCTGAATTTACAGTGATGTTCAAATAACAGAAAAGAAAAAGATGGCAGAGTTATGCCGGTATACGCGTGGGCAGCGCAACACGTGAAAAGTAGCTGCAGGAGCAAAGACGATGAAACAAGTCTGTCCGCTAGCCATGTACCAAGGAGACTGTTCCGCACATCACGTGTATCAGTGCACACGTTGCGCAGAGCTACACTCTCACCCATGCATACACACATGCATACATCTAGTCCTATAGTCACACGCTAGAGACTCCTAAATACAATGCAGTTAGCTAAGGCGGTCTATATTTCGTTTAATGCGCCCAACAAAACCCGGTAAAGACCTTGAATTTTAAACATTCCCCCGGGTTGGTATGTCTGAGTATAATGACAGAAAGACAGACGAAGTAGAAGATAACGAAAAATTAAACTTATTAACAGTTAGAAACAAAAATAATAATTATGTTAGTCACTTTAATTTTACAAATTCTCCGGGTAGAGGCGGGGGCATTTTTTTTAACGGGCAGCACACCAAGTATGTGATTTGTTTTTAGTGTTATATGTAACTACATTATAAAAAAAAAAAAATTGTAAAATGTAATCAAGGAAGCCCATATTATTATAACCTTTTAATAAACTTATGAGAATATGTGGATTTAAAAGATTTAAAGACCGCTGTCCTTTTACAAATAACGAAGCTTGCTAACTATTAACATCAAACTCCTCGGCCGGTAGAACTAGCGCGATCTTGACCACTGGTCAAGTGAGAGTAGAGGTAGCGGTACGGACTTCGATAACTCTAACAGATTCATTTGATCCTGCTAATACCTGAGTCACCCGGCCTAAAGGCCAATGAGAAGGTGGAGTATTCTCTTGGAGAATTAGTACTAGATTATTGACTCGAATTGCTCTTTGTTTGAAAATCCACTTTTGTCGAACTTGTAATGACACAAGATACTCGTTAGCCCATCTCTTCCAAAAATGTTGGAGATAGGATGAAATAAATTTCCATCGTCGTAACGGGTTACTTTTTAACTGAGGTTCGGGGGTTAGGAAGGCAGGTTTGTAGCTCAGGAAGTGGGCAGGCGTGAGTACTTCTTAATCGAAAGGGTCATCTGATTGTGGAACTAGGGGGCGAGAATTCAAACACGCCTCTATTTTGCATAAGAGAGTGGAAAATTCTACGAAGGTGAGCACCTGGTCGCCGATAACTCGTTTTAACAACTGTTTAGCTGATTTAACAGCGGCTTCCGACAAACCACCGAAGTGGGGCGCAGAAGGTGGGTTGAAATGCCAATTGGTTCCAGCTTTCAGCAATTTATTGCTGAGGTTGTATGACCTTAAAAACTGGCAGAGCGTCTCCTTTAATTCGGAAGATGCACCTACAAAATTGGAACCCCTATCACTGTATAAGTGCGAGCAGTACCCTCGCCTGGATGTAAACCGACTGAAAGCAGCAAGAAAGGCCTCAGAAGAGTAGTCTTCCGCCACTTCCAAGTGTACTGCTCGAGTGACCATACAAATAAAAACACAAATGTACCCTTTCTAAGATCCCTTTCCTCTCGATTTGGTCAATCGGATAGCGTAGGGACCCGCGTAGTCCACACCGGTTTTAGTAAACGTTGGACTTTCCAGTATTCTGGATGATGGTAAATCTCCCATCATTTGAATTTGTACATGCGGTTTGGAATTATACTGAATACAAGGGATACATTTGAAGATTTTATTACGAACTACTTGATGCCCTCGCACAATTCAGTAGGCTTGGCGAATATATGTCAAAGTAAGAAGAGTGCTACCATGTAAAACTAAGTTATGATGATAATTAATTATCGAGTCGGTCAGATAATCTTTGGGAGCAAGAATTAAAGGGTGCTTAGTTTGGCTAGGGATCGAAGTCTTTCCAAGTCTTCCCTCTACTCTAATTACTCCATCGACAAGAATAGGATTCAGCTTGGCGATGCTGCTGTTTCTGTTCAATAGAACCTGCTCGGATTCAGATAAAGACAAGTTTTTTAAAAGTAAACGGTATTCGTGCGGAAAGCGGAACATCTGATGAATACGAACCCAAACTAATCGAGAATTGTCCAGTTCTGATAATGACAAACAATAGCTATCTGACCTTAAAGTATCGGATGGATCCAGAAAAGACAACTCTTGTGACGTCAAAATTTTAACGTCATTACGTTTAGCAGACTTTGTTCGATTTCAAGTACGTTTACATTTGAAAATTAACCTAAATATCAACCTTAGGCAGTGACTTGTAACCTTGAGTAATTTATGCCAACTACTGTAAGCGGAGTAAGTGTCTGGTAACTTACCTTGGCATTCTAATGCATTTACAGAAAGCATTTCATTCAGAACAGTGTCTTCACTTTCAGAAGAATTTTTAGGTGAAATGTCGGAAAAAACGATTTCACGACCCCTCAAAAAATCGGGCCCTTCAAACCAAAGTTTCTGACCTATAAGTTGCTTGGGCAGAACCCCGCGAGAGGTGAGATCTGCCGGATTCTCTTTAGTTTTGACATGATGCCAATAGGCTGTAGGTGTCAAGGTTTGAATTTCAGAACACCTATTAGCAACCAAGGTAGGCCACTTAGATGAAATTGACTTTATCCAATACAAAGTGTCCATAGAGTCAGTGTATAGGTGAATAGCCAAAGCCTGAACCTTTGTCGTTGAGACATGATGATTCACTAGCTTAGAAAGTAAGTGAGCACCACACAGCTCGAGACGAGGAATGCTGAGCGCCTTTAGTGGTGCCACCTTGGTTTTAGATATTTCTAATAAAGTAAAAACCATGTCTTTTGTAAGTGTACGAAGATAGAGAACCGCAGCATAAGCTCGTTTAGAAGTATCAGTAAAGCCGTGGATTTCTATTATCGGGTCAACGGGTTGGAAATGATTCCAATGCGGAATTCTAATCTGATCCAAGATTTGGGCTTCATTGATCCACTCACTCCATTGCTTCAAAAGATTAGAAGGAAGTTTCTCATCCCATGGTACCTTCAGCAACCATAATTCTTGTAGTAACATTTTAGCTTCAATAATTACTGAAGAAATCCAACCAAGTAGGTCAAAAAATTTGGCTAACTGAGAAAGCACACTGCGTTTGGTCCAAATTGGATGAGAAGATGGTAAGTTGACCTTAAAACTGAAACTATCGAGATCGGAGTTCCAGTTAAGACCCAAAACTGATGTGACCTCATGGTCATCTTGCAGTTCAAGCGGATTAGAAGAATGAAATTCTTCAGGGATCTCGGCTAATATCTCTTTGGAGTTGCTTGACCATTTTCGTAACTTGAAACTGCCTAGCTTGGTCAGAACATCCAGCTGTTCTACCTTTTTCTTAGCTTCTGTGAGTGTATCAGCGCCCGATATGAAATCGTCCATGTATATTTCAGTATTCAAAATCTCTGCTCCAAGAGGAAGAGTATCATGGTAAAGGACAGCTAATTCTTTCAATACCCGAGAGGCAAGAAAGAGTGAAGAAACTAAGCCGTAAGTAACGGTATTGAGCTGGTAAGTAGATAGAGGTTGCGAAGGGTCTTCTCTCCAAAGGATAGCCTAAAAGGGTCGATCTGCCGATTGAACATTCACCTGACGAAACATTTTCTCTGCGTCAGTGGAAAAGACGAACTGATAGAATCTCGATTTCATCATAAGATCAAATAACGTAGCTAAAAGGTTTTGTCCCTGATATTGGATAGAATTCAACAAAACACCCGATCTTGTGAATGCTGAACCATTGAAAACTACACGAATTTAGGTGACGATCCTGAAAGGCTTAGAACTCCATGATGCGGGAGGTACCAAATTGTCGAGTTTTGGTCAACTAAACACATATGGTTCAAATCGATGTACTCTTGTATGAACTCCCTGTACAATTCGAACAATTTTGGGTTCAATTAAACTTAGATTCAAGATGAAGAAACATGGCACGAGCTAACTGGAATGACTCTTCCCACGAAGCTACCAAAACGTCTGTAGAATCCTTCAAGGGCAGGGACACTGTGAAGTGCCCTGCTTCATCTCGAGTGTAGTTTTCAACGAACATTTTTTCACATATCTGCTCGTCTTTAGTAAGGATAATCTTACAGCTCAGAGGCTCTTCTATCTGCCAGAACTTCTGCAACAAATCGCTATCATTATCTTCCTGACAAATATTGAGAGATACGACTTGATTTTGGAACGTACTGAGAGAACTCATAGCACCTGATAGAAGCCAATCGATTGATGATTTTACAGCAGTGGGGTAGTTAGGACCTTTCTTTATTATAGGTCCCTCGATAATAGTCGCGTGAGTCACAGCATCAAGAAGGAGATCAATGGGATCTTTGTTCAAGAAGTACGGATCAGCTAATTGAATGCCTTTAAAACAATCCAATTGCACTCTTTGACTAATGGCAGGCGGAAGGTAAGAAGACACTCTGTTTATGACAAGAGCGCTAGTTTCCAAAGAGAATTTGGACTCAAAGTTTGGCTTAATTTTGAACGTAACCAATTGGATAGCATTTGCTTTGACTACTCCTCCAAGTTCCGTCAAAACAGCACTAGTTTTTTGAGGCTTTAAACCTAACATCTGGACAAGTGACCTAGATATAAGCGATGCTTGAGAGCACGGGTCAACGAGTGCTCGGGCTGTTAGAACTTTACCTGACGGGGAGACGATTTGGATTCTCGCAGTAGCCAATAACACAGTATTGGAGCAACAAGCAGAACTAGTATCTAAAATGACTTTAGCATCAGGAGCCTTGCCAGCTTTGGTGGTGTTTTTTGGGTCAACACCTTTTTCTTGAGATTGAGAAGAACTGGAATCTCTATGAGTATGATGCTTTTGTTGGCAGAAGGCGCAAAGAGTGGTAGAACGACAATCCCCGAACTTGTGCGGATCAAGGCAGTTGTGGCATAGTTTCGCCTTGGATTGAATTGATTTTTTAATTGGCCATGGCTTGGACTTAAAAATCTCACATAATCGAACATGGTGTTCGCCATTACAGCAAGGGCATACAAGGTTTGTGGACGTAGTCTGATGAGACGCAGAAACAAAGGTGGCGTCTTTCTGTTTTCCCTGCTTGGGTGATGGATGCGCAACAGAGGGTTTCTGCTTAGGAATATAAGATTCCACTGAAATTAAATGGTTATTTAAAAAACCTTTAAACTGAGCCAGCATAGAAGGGTCGGTAGAACTACCTAAATGCCTTTGCCAATCCTTGGCGGTGGCATAGTCCAATTTATTGGACACAGTTCCAATGAACAAATCTCCTAAACCGTGTTCAGCGTGCTCAAGGTTATCTAAAGCTGCAAGAGGCCTAAGAGTTTGGCTAATCAGCTGTTTGAGCTCAAAAGAGGAGCTATTCTTCATAGACGGAGCGTTGAGTATCGAGTTGAAAAAAAAGAATTGACGGAAAGAAAAAAGAAAACGAGCAACAGATAATATCAAGGTGTGGAAACAAAAACCTAATGGAAAGGTGGGGACTATTTCCCTTTTCCCTTTCTTTTCCGATTTACCTCTATCCTCACTCAACCAGCAGCCTTGCCACCATACATAACCCAAAACCTTCTTTCACTTCTTAAACCACGGACGGTTTTACTTTATTGACGTGTTGCGCTGATCTCTAAAACAAAATAAAGTATAGTTGACAAACCGAACTTTTACATAAAAAGGAAAGGTTCTAAAAAACAACGCCGATATAACTGTACTTATTAAATACGAACGGTGTACTCCGTGAATCAGCAGCTAGCAAACGGCAGCGGTGACGTGGACAGGACCCGTACCAGCATGTAGAAGCAGTAGCGCTGACAGTATGTAAGCTGCACTGATGTCAGCGGCGGCAGCACGATGAGGGTGAACCCGTAGCGGCGCCGTGGAAGCAGGTAGCGGCACTAAGGTCAGCGGCGGCCGCACGACGAAGGCGGAGGCCTGCACCAGCAGGCTGCAGCAAAGGTGTAGATGCCGTAGGTGGGCTCACAGAGGCGGAGGTCTGCACCAACAGGTTGCAGCAATGGTAGTGACGCCCCAGGTGTATGCTTGATCGTGGATGTATGTGTGGGTGTCTAGAACGGGACGAGTGGAGTAAGTACAATGTTAACTCGGTTACCGTCAACAAACACACAAAACAAGAAAAAAAAGGTGCTCATGTTACATGAGACTTAAGCATGTAAGTTAATGCTCACAGAGAGATGTAAGAGAAAATATAAGTGCAGAGAGTGCGTGTATGTGTGTATAGGGTACAACACCTGCACTGCAAGAGAGACTGAGTGCTTGAAAGCAAGCGTAGAGAGTGCGTGTGTGTGTGTGTATAGGGCACAACACAGCAGCCGCACTGCAAGAGAGACTGCGTGCTCGAAAGCAAGCGCAGAGAGTGCGTGTGTGTGTATAGGGCACANGAGACTGAGTGCTTGAAAGCAAGCGTAGAGAGTGCGTGTGTGTGTGTGTATAGGGCACAACACAGCAGCCGCACTGCAAGAGAGACTGCGTGCTCGAAAGCAAGCGCAGAGAGTGCGTGTGTGTGTATAGGGCACAACACAGCAGCCGCACTGCAAGATAAAGAGAGAGAGGAAGAAAACGCGTGCGCAAGGGCACTACTCTCCCTCTCCCGATTCTCCTTCTATCGAAAGCACGAGGCGACGCCAAGATGATCGCCGATACATACGGTTAGCCGAGATTCAACAAAGAGAAGATGGCGAGGTATGCCACGCGACCCCCTATTCCCCAAACCTCGTTGCCCCCAATCCGGCTCGAAGGACCAAAAAATGTATGAAAAGGTCAAAGGCCAGTAAAGCTCCTGGTCTTTGGTTGATTTTTTGCCGGGACTGGGAGCTCACCAGGTTGGGGAAAGGACGTTGGACAATGAAGGGGCGCCATAGTAGGGTGTTAAAATAAAATGACACACAACACTGCACTTATTTTATTTTTTTCAAGCAAACAATACAAGGTATTATATGACCTAAAAATCACTATTGAGCGTATTGGATCGAATCGCTTTAAAATAGAATTAGAAAACAATCGCAGTAGATGGGAACTATTAAACTAGTTGTGAACAGAGAGGTAAGTAATAAAGCTGAATTTACAGTGATGTTAAAATAACAGAAAAGAAAAAGATGGCAGAGTTATGCCGGTATACGCGTGGGCAGCGCAACACGTGAAAAGTAGCTGCAGGAGCAAAGACGATGAAACACGTCTGTCCGCTAGCCATGTACCAAGGAGACTGTTCCGCACATCGCGTGTATCAGTGCACACGTTGCGCAGAGCTACACTCTCACCTATGCATACACACACTCATACATCTAGTCCTATAGTCACGCCCAACAAAACCCGATAAAGACTTTTAATTTTAAACACAGCTTCTGTTATACCGAGTTGGATAACATTTGAGTTCCAAGTTTTACTTCTGCTGAGGGTCTTAAGACTCACACCTGCTTTTTTTAATTAAGATTTCTTGTTTCTTTCTTCTTTTAAGCGTGATGGCTAGTTGGCTACAGTTCGTAAAGTTTAATTTTTTTTTTTTAATAAATACCTACTAACGTAGTGTATTTATTTTTAGGCTTCATTGTCAGCGAGTACATATAGTACATATAGCCTTGTTACAGTAAGACACATTTAACATAATATTGGTTACATAATATACACAGTATTGGTATAATAATTACACAGTATTGGTTATATGTTACATTATTGGTTACATTTTCACATTGTTGGGTACAGTTCATAATTGGTTAGTACGGTGATGACTTCGCATACACCGCCTCGAGAGCGAAGGATCTAAGTAATAGGCCATTTGCTACGAGAAGACCCATCTCCTTCACGGAAATCAAACCAGTCTTCCGCGGTCCGACCCGCAAACCAACTGACTGAGCCACCGTGCGGTCTAATATTAAAAATCAATCTAATATTAAAGAGTTTCATTGATTTTTAAGTCTGTTTTATAAATTTCATGGTTTTAAAGTTGTACTTTTTCCCAGCTGGTAAACTATTTGAATGTCTGAAATAAAATTTGTATTTTAGGTATAAGCTGGCATCACTTATCTAATTCCTTGACGTTCGCGTCATATTTACCAACTAACTATGGCTACAAGTTATTCATTCCATATGCGAAGCAAACCATTTTGTGGGAAATTTATTTTAATCCTTTATTTCCGGAACTTGGACCCGAAATCGTAATTAATGGAGAAGAATTTACTGAAACAAAAGATTCTCTGAGTTTATTATGTGGTTTACCTGAGCTAATCAAATGGGATCTTGCTGAGAAAATGTCATTGACAAATGTTTTGAATCAATTTTTGAGTTTCTTCAAGTGTCAACAAGTAAGAATTTAAATTTCGATTAATTCATAAATATAATCTCCTTTTTTTTCAGATTAAATGCCTGGAAAAAAAGTCAGAAAAATTATTTTCCGAATATTTATCGTTGCAAAGAACATTTAATCCGGAAAGTGTAGAAGTTCTTGTAATGAACAATTCGAAACAAACAGAAGTAAAGTTTTATATTAAATTGCATCAAAATCTACAAAAAAATTTGGCTGTACGCAACTGCAATATGAATCATGAAACTTCATTATTTATAAACTATAATGGACCTTTGTTCAATCGTATTATGCCAGAATTATATTTATCACCATATCTTACATATTTTTTTAACGACACTGAATCATTACATATTCCATATTTAAAAGAATCTCAACGTACTGTCGATTATGCTAACGAAATCCAAACAATCGTCCAAAATAAGGTAAGTAAAGAATTTGTTCTAGTATTACCAATGCGTATATAAAGATATTATTATAGACTTACAACCAGTTTTATTTAAAAGTAAATAAACTTCTAGTTTTGTGTATCTCTCATCATCCATGTTTTCCTTTAAAGCGTAGAGATAAATTTTGGCAGAGTCATGTGAACATAAATATTTTGAAAACATTGAAATGTAGAGAAAATTTACTATTCGTACTCAAAGTATTCCATATACCGCTTATAACTGGAGTTATAGAACTAGCTCAATTTACTCAAATATTGCAACCTGGTAAGCAACACCTTGAATCTAATCGTTGATCTAGTAAGCATGTTTACTACTCTATGTATTGTATTTAAGGTATTGCAAAAGTTAGGGTCAATGATGGTCGGAAAGCGATTCACTGAAAAATTTCACGCCGTAGCGCATTATTTTTCACTCGTTTTTGTCAATAACTTTTCGAAAAGACCATTGATCTATAATTTTCAAAACAGTGATCTGTTTAGGTATTAAAAATTTTGTAATTATTTGAACATTGTTATCTAATCAGATTTGAGGTTAAAACTTTTTTTGCTAAAAATTGATTCAATTTGAATTATCTTAAATTATATACTTTTTTGTTTCTATCCGAAATGAGAGAGAGGAAGAAAACGCGTGCGCAAGGGCACTACTCTCCTTCTCCCAAATCTGCTTCTATCGAAAGCACGAGGCGACGCCAAGATGGCCGCCGATACATACGGTTAGCCGAGATTTAACAAAGAGAAGATGGCGAGGNATTCACACTAAGCACAACTTACTGTTTATTTATTTGAGGAATCTTATACTTTATCTATTGTAATATTATTTATATAAAATTTTAATTTAAGGCTCATTTTTTAATTCTTTGTTAGAATGATATTTAATTTCTAAAAAGTCAAAGTTTCCTTTAGTTAAAAAAGAAAAAAATAGTCTTAACGCTTTTAGATTAGGAGTAGTCTACTATCAAGTTCTTTTTTGTATGATGAAGAGTACATAAATTTCTACTATCGTCTTCATAGGGTTCACACGTTATGTATTTTTTTTAGTGTAAGCTACTAATATGTAAATCTTAAGCCATGTACAGAGTGTTTAGAAAGTGATTTTATAAAATAATTTAATTTTATTAAGCTAAAACAAAGCACAAACAAACCTTAAGAGTTTTTTGATTTAACGGGTTATAAAACAATCTATGTTAGAAACAAAGTCTGACACCTGTAAATATCAATATGGCAGACGTTGTAACTACACAGGTTAGTGGACGTAAAAAAAAAAGATCACCCACGATAGTAGAATTTATACTTAATGACTTTGTTTGTATTATTGCTTAATAAACAAATATTTAACAAACAGAAAAGTATTAGAACTTGATGACTCAATTGTTTTTTATTATTACTCTAGACTATTTATAGGGAGCAAGTAAGTATTAGTGGTAATAAAAAAATTAAGTTACTAAGCTGCAAAGTTCACTTACCTTCATCTAAACATTTTATAAAGTGATAACAGAAAATAGGGTATATGGGTTTTTAACAGTTTATTAAACAATAAATAATCAAAAACAGTTAAGTTACTTAGCGCACATGCTTGCTTGCCTACTAATCCATCCGTACATTAAATAATAAATTACTATCAAGTCATTTAGGAAGGAATATTGTTTGCTAAGCTATCAAATGACTATCAAGTGATTACGAAAATGGCTAGATTACTTACTGCTGCTCCTTACTTACCTCATTATTAATATTATTTTAAGTACAGTTTTATTTTCCGTGCATATTTCCATAGTTAATTAGCCAGACTGCCACTTTAATATCTCATCAAAAACTCACACTCGCTGCTACAATGTCAACGAGACACGTAACGAGATTTCTAAGTTACTTATCACCAATGCTTGTGCGTTCATCTTTAAATAGTTTATAAAGGGATCGTAAAATACACGTAGTCTACTTAGTTATAGAGTTCACCTACCTGTTTGTTAATAAAAAACAACTAACTTACGTTATGATGAATGAATAATGTGTAATATTCGATAAAAATAAATCAGACATGGCTCAATTTCGTGTAGACATTTGATAAGTCAACAGTTTAGTTACCACATTAAAGCCTAATTTCAAATAAATTCAATTTTAAATTAATTGTGAATAATATCTTTATAGTGCAACAAAGTGTGATAACTCAGATCAATCGATCAAAAATAATGTGTTCTGACTCAGCCCTAATTGTGTTTAAAGCATTTCTGAGGTATTAAATGAATTTAGGAAGCACCAAACAAATGGGTGTGAGAGACACCAATATCTCTAATTAGTTGGAAGACAAGTTTATTTTTAAGTTTATTATCTCTGCGTTACCAGGCACGGTGCAGTCTTATATTTTATATATTTTACCGTGGCCCTAAGAAAAATAAAAAAAATAAAAATCTGATATGACAGACGATTAAAACTTAATATAATTTTCGATTAAAGAAATGTTTAAAAAAACATCTGTCTACAATAAATCTTGTCACACAACTACAGAGACCAACAAATCTGATTGATGAGATAGAAAACGTTATTTCTAAGGTGCCCATAATAACAAGCTGTGAGTACAAAAGTTATTTAACTCAGCAGTCTAAATAATTAATAATTATTTTTAAAACTCAATAATTTCATTAGTCGAAAATCAAGAAATTATTGAAAAACTGTGTAAGTAGCTTGCTCATCACCCATAAGGTGGAGAGACCCATGACAATAGGTTTTTGAAATATAATACAGTACAAGTGTGTACAGTTTATTAAGTAAATTACAGTGATTATACAGAGTATCAACTACGTGTGTGAATAGTACATTACGATACTAGCGCGCGAGGAAGGCGACTGACGCACTCGTGTCAATCACCTAACCTCTCCCACGTATGGTGTGTACAACTTTTCGACACATCGTGCGCGGGGAACGAGATTATGAGCCATCTAATGTGTCTCTACCAAGATCACGCGTGTGTAAATCTAGGTCTTTAGAGCTACAACAAATAGCTCATAATCGAGGTCCCCCTTGGCGTGTCGAAGATACATGTAATGGGCTGAGTGTCAGTAGTATCGTGTGAAACACAAGTAGTTTTGATTTGGAATTGAGAAAAAGTTAAGTCAGTTAGGGTATTCTGATGTAGTGTTACGTCGAAAACGGCATAAGAGTAAATTTTATATTTAGGCCTAAGCTTTCGCTCAATAGCCTGGGAACATGATAGGAAGGGTTGGAGACGGAGCACAGAGTTGGGCACAGGGTAAATGATTGAGGAAAGCTTAGCTAGCTACTTGGGCATCGGTATTTAGACCAGCGGCACGTAATTAGCCATTTGTTTAGAAAAGGTAGCTTAGTTCGCCTTTGGAGACTATAGTTGTCTGATCGCCAGCATTTTCACTAGCGACACACAACATATAGCTTCAAGGGTTGGGTTGTTAACGAATGCTAGTTGCTTGGCCGTCGGCATTTACACTAACTGGCACACAGCGTAGCGTCACTTAATTGATTTAAACTAAAGCTAACTGCTTAGCCATTGGCATTAACATCAACTGGCACACAGCGTAGCGTCACTTGATTGATTTAAATAAAAGCTCGGTGCTTGGCCGTCAGCATTTACACCAACTGGCACACAACTTAGCGTGGCTTGATTTAAAAATTTGTTATTAAATAAGAGCTAGTCGCTTGGCCGTCGGCATTTACACCAACTAGCACACAATTTAGCGTCACTTGATTTTATTTGATTTGAGGTTTCCCTTTTTATTTTTACCTTACCACCTGCTTGGCCACTAATATCCGGATTGTACAGCACGCAATAGTGGGTTTTACACACAAAAAAACTATGGGGGATGCATAAAAATTAACTTTGAAGTTAAATTCTGCTTACTTTTATTATTGTCAAAAAAGGGGGGGTACAAATGGCTCTCGAGGCAAGATCCGGGTGACCGGACATAAATTAAGCGGATAGACCGGATTATCCAGGTCACGTACAGCCACCGACCGGGTTCTCCGGGTCGTGTGTATGAGTCTGGCTACTGCCATAGGGGTACTATCAAGCTGGCCTGACCATTAAACGAATTTTTTCGGACTGCTCTCCTCGTGAAGGAGCCATGGGCTTAAATAGCCGAAAATCGTGCCTCCTTATCATTGCCACTATGGCCAGAGACGGCGAAACGTACATAGGTTCTTAGAATTAGTCTGCATCATCTCGTGGCAGGGAGAGGAAAAGATTTTCTACATGCCTTCCGTCTTCCTATACATGTATTGTTTTGGTTTCGGGGTGATGCTTACTCGCTAAAGAATATTGTATAGCAGCGATACTGGTCTCAGTGTTCGCTTATCGAAATTAGGTTGCGTTACAGTTCAAGTGATTTTCGGGTTTGGTAGCCCTGGGTACTGTAAGTGTTAATAAAGGAAAGTGATAATAGTATAGCATGCTGTTGCCAAGTCTCGTTGCATAAATGTTGGCCAATATGTGGATCAAACATCCTGGCTAGAGCCTCGCCTTGTTTATGAACGGTTAAGGAAGAGAAAGTAAAGGATAGAAAATACTTATAGAGTTTTGCCGAACGATGTAGATAAATCTGTCAATGCATAAAGAGAGAAAGAGATGTAGACTAGTTCTTGGGTCTTTATCTTACTCGGTCTTTTCTTACACGTGTATAACAAAACATTAGCTTCGGTGCTTAGTATATGTGTGGGTATGTGACGTTTAGGTTGATACGAAAACGTGGCCTTGCGAGCAGAAAAGGAAGAGAAGGAGAAAAAGAATTTTGAAAAAGGGTACGTTGAGGTCAGCCTCGATGTAACATTAGTATGCTGGTTTTAGAATTTGATGAGAGAATAATGAAGAGTTCGTATATCACGTCCGATGTATCTGGTTATTTGCCAATGATCAGTCATCTCAGTTTCATAGTATTTGATACAAAGTAGTAAAGAGCTCTCATATTTTCTTTGACAGTACTGTTAAGGAGATCAAGTGCTGTGGTTGAGTGAAAA